TTGCAGATAATAGTTTTCAATTAAAACTTTGAATATGTATTCTTTTCTAAGTTTGGGCTGTCATTTTAAACTTTGAAGCAAACCCAGTGCAGGGTAGGCAGTTCCTTTTGTTGTCAACGGAAGCCAAAAGGACCCAAAAATATGGGAAAATTATTGCAAAAGCAAAAGTCAATATTGCAAAGTAAATCACTATACTCGAACTAGAAAACCAATAATAATTGAAAAAATGGCCTGGCCTTTGGGACTAGGACTCCTAGTCTAGGAGTTATATATCCTCAAGTCTTAACTTATGGTGAATAAAAAGAGAGATTTTTTTTTTTTTTCGAGATAGAGAATTTCATACAAAAGAAAGCTTTAATAATTATTGTCATGAGATGCAGCTTTCAAATATGAATTGGCCAAAAAAAGCATCGCTTCAGACTGAAAATAGCATTTTTTTAGGTGATAAATAATCAAATTATTTATAATAACCTAAATTGATAACTTAAGGTGTTGTGAGTATTTTTATCAAATTTAATCCAAATTTCAAAGTGAAAAGAATATTTTTGTTTTGTCATTACCTGGAGAAGAATTTTACATTTCTCTTTTGATAACAAAGTTGGCTGCTCTTGGACCTCTTGGGGAAAGTTCAATCGAGTGATTAATCTTTTAAGTTTGTTTGCTAACGATTTAAATAATTCAATGGTAATTTTTTTCTGTTAGAAGAAATAGATCTTAAATTCGAGTTATATGATATACAAGTGAGGTGAGATAAGGGATGGAAGAGGATTGTTCCTCGTTGTACAGCCAACGTAAAAAAAAAAAAAAAATCTTTTGAGTTTGATTGTGGTAACTGGTTCCCATCTTTTCAAATTATTTTAATTGGGTCCTAATTTTGTCCTATTTTTTGAATGACTATTGGGCCTCAAGATCAGAAGCCGAACAATTGGATTGTACGACAATGTTCCGGATTCTTTCTTTTTTGGGCCGTCTTTAAATTCTTGAACTTGAAGGGCTGTTAAAGAGCTGGCCCACCCCTCCCAAAAAATGATGATTTAATTTAACAGAAAATTCACTTCACTTAATTATTAATGAAAAGAATAAACTTTTAATATCAAAAGACTTACATTTCTATTATTAATAGTTACAAGTGGTGCAATTTTCTCAGAACAAACTACATTATAACATTCTCTTAATTTAATTCATCATATTCCTAGAAAAAGAACCAAATGATTCAAAACAATTACTTTCTATCTTAAAGGGTTGTTTGGTTGAGGAAACTGCCCCGAAAGTTCTCTTGAAAATCATTTTGTAAAGTTGTCTCATGATTTTTCTTTTTGGGGAAGTGATGTGAATTTTGTGTGTTTGGTCTGCATTTTAATTGGTAGGAAAACTTTCCAAAAGAAAGTCTGTAGAGTTTTGCTTGTTTGTTATACTCGTAGCTGCTGTAAAAATACTAGTTATTGAGTAAAGTCTTCGTAGAAATGTTGAATAAAAAATTTATATAATATAACC